AAAAAAAAAGATGGAGAACAGGAGGAAGCTCTGGCTCAAAGACTACCTAACCAGGTGACTCCAAAGCAGGAGCAGCCAGGTGAGTCAACTTTGCTCCTACCCCCAGTACACACATTGCCCCTGGTGCCAAGCAACCACTAACATAGCAGCAGCAGCTACTGGAAGTGGAAGCAGGGAGCACGGGGCTTGGGCTGCAAAGTGGGCAATGTCCTGGTTGGCTGGTGAAAACCTAAAGGAGTAGGATCTCCACACCTAGACCAGCTTTTGGCTACCCTTGCTGCCTGCATCACCAATGCTGTGATAGGCAAAGTCTAAATTCAAAGAGGAGGGCAGAACCAATAAATTACCAAATATGTGAGAAAAACTAATCCAATAAAGCAACAAAGAAAGTAACTAACACCTGAAAAAACTAGGTTATAACAGCAAACCAGGGTTGGGGTTGGGGAGGAGGAGGAGTGTTAAGTATCATTAAAACAGAGTAGAAGATGAAAGGATGGTTTTTTAAAATTAGATTTCATATTCTAATTATTAAAATAAAAAACTTAGTAGATAAACTGAATCGGAGAAGAATCAAATTTTAAAAAATCCAAATACTTGAGAAAATAAAAAGGCAAACCAAAGACTGGGAGAACATTTTCACAAAACATGTAACCAACAAAGGACTTGCATCTAGAATATGTGAACTCTTAAAATAATACTTTTTTTTTTTAATGGGCAAAAGTTTTGAACAGAAACTTTACAAAGATGTAAGGATTAGAAAAATAAGCTCATGAAAAGATTCTCACAACATCATTAATCATGAAGGGAGGGCAAATGAAAACCACAGTGAGCCACCACCACTCACTCCCCAGAAGGCTAGATGGTAAGGACTGACCACACCAAGTGATGGCCCAGGAATGCAGCAACTGCAACTCATACACTCCTGGTGGGAAGGCACCAAAACACAACACAATACAACGCAACACACAAAAAAAACATTCTGTAAAACAGTTTGGCAATTTTTTTAAAAGTTAGCAACATACACCTATGATAGCATCTCACCAATACATTCCTAGATATTTGTCCAAGAAAAATAAAAGCACATGTTCACAGAGGGAAAGGTGCCTTATTTGTAATCACTAAAAACTGCAAAACAACCCAGATGCACATCAACAGATGAATAAATTCTTCTATTATCAATACTATGCATGAACTATTTCTCAAAATAATTATGCTGAATGAAAGAAGTCAGCGTCTCTATCCCCAGCCCCCAAAGTACACACTGCATGATTCCATGTATTTAAAATTTGAGAAAGCGCAATCTAAAGTGTCAAAAAGAAGGCCTATTTTTGCACGGAGATGGGGGAGATTGATGGATTACAAAGGGGCAAGAGGAAATTTTGGGGGTGATGAATATTATCTTGATTAGTGACAGTTTCATGAGTACAGTATATGTATATACACATATGTGTGAGTATATGTCAAAATTCAAGTTGTACACTTTAAATACTGTGTCAATTATACCTCAAAAAAGGTTGTTGAACAAACTCCAAAACTTAGAAGAGCTAACCTAGAGAACTGATCAAGTACAGAAAAAAATCAGTGCGCTGAAAGATCAAGCCCAGGTATTCTACAGCACCAGGCGAAAACAGAGACGGAATGAATGTATGTGTGGAAATTGTTGANTTTTATCCTTAAGATCAATAAAGCAGCATTAAACACATTTAAAGTTTACATACACATTTTATTCTCTATTGATGTATCATTATTTAATATTTCTTACCATTTCTGTACTAAGCAATTAAAACCATGAAGCATATATCAATATTTACAAGACCACAGCTCTAACCTGAGCTAGAGCCGAAATATATACTTTGTAAGTAAATTAACTCAGGACAAGTGAAACTGCCACTGCGTTCATGAAAGCCACTCTTATCTATAACTGCATTGGTCAAATTTGACTTCAGTATAATTCTCCATATTAACTTCTGTTTACTCCTGGCAAAGGACTCAAGATTTATCAACCCAGGTCTCTGTATCAGTATGTAAACATTAAAGGTCTTTGTATCAGTGTGTCAATATTAAATAGCAAACAAAACCCAAACCTTTCACTATCTTTTATCTGCTATGTTAGACAGATTTGTGATAAAGGTATAAAAGCCATGATAACTGCAACATAATTACCTGGACTAGAAATCTGGTCACGATATTTTGGAACCTCATCGTTCAGAGTCTGAAGCATAGCCCACATTGTGAATGTGAAGAGTGCAGCCAGGAACCCATAAAATACTAGGTAAAAGAGCAAGATCAAACCTGTAAAAGACAATAAAACTTATGAAACTGGGGATACGCACAAACGTTGAATTCATGTCTATGTGTGTGCCCAGGTTAAGAAAAACAACCAACCAACCACTGCAAGGCCAGGATTCCGAGCTTTGCCATGCACACAGCCAAGTACCTCCATATTCAGAACAATATGAATTTGCCCAAGCCAGGTGAATTTCAGCAGACAGCACCCATGTATCCTGTGACCCCTCCTCGCCTCTAACACTTCCAAGTAGCTTCCACAAAGCATACTTGGGCTCAAGGTCAGAGCTTTAAAGTTCCAGCTCAAAGGGGAGTGTTTCCCAAAATGGACTTGATGCCCTCTAGAAAGATACAAGATGATTTTAGGTGGGAGAAGCTCAATATGTACATGTTCCTTTAAGTGGCAAATAGAAATGAATTAGTACATCAACTCTGTATTTCACATAAATAGTTATTCACATAAATTTAAGTGTTAAAAAGTGAGTTGATTTAAAGAATAGCCAAGAAATGTGCAGAAAGGCAAATCATGAAGATGGTATTCAATGAATCAAGTTTAGGAAACACTGGTCAAGTGGAAGGCTCATGCAAAAGTGAGGTGAGGACAAGACCAGAAA